GGGATGCACCTCTTCTATATTATCAGGGTTTAGGGGGGGGTTTAGGGATTAGGGTTTAGGGTTTAGGGCTCCCTTGTTCCCTACTAACCCCCAGTAAGGTCTAGGGTACATACTGCACGTAGCTGGTAGCACAGAGGCCATGCCCAGGATCTACTGTTTGGGGCATAGGGTTTAGATTTTAGGGTATAGTGTTTCGGGTTTTAGGATCTAGGGTTCAGAGTTTAGGGTTTAGGGTTTCGAGTTTAAGGTTGAGGGCTTAGAGTTTAGGGCACTGGGTTTGAGGTTTAGAGTTTAGGGTGAGCTCAGGGATTCCATTAGGGCCTAGCCACCAACGCACCGGCTACTCCAAACGCAGAAATCATTGTCAAGGCTAGTGCTTCTAGGAGGTTCCCACGCATTAATGTTCTACATATGCACGTATACATGCTACCCCGCCAAAACTTGCCACTTCATGACCATAACATCAACCTATGATTCAATGAGCTTGCGACCATGGCTCCGCAACACTCGTACTGTGGATGCCCTTCCAAGCCATACCTACCAAAATTGTACAGGTGCTTGTGGGCTCTTCGTCAGAGACAGAGTATGACAAACTTTTAGATTTAGAGCCTACAAACATTGTGACTACATAGATGGCATGTAGAGTCCGTAATTATATGTTCGATTTCGCTGCTGTACTGCTTTAGCATCTGTTATTGACACGTGTCCACAACTCCACGAATATCATCATGGCTCGCATGCCTTTCTGAACCCATTAGAGGTAAACTCCTACGTATGTTCTTGGTCTCCGCCAGTAGTGTTCCATGGAATTCCATAACCATACTGCAGGATGTAAGATTTCAGGGCTGCATTTTCCTGTGACTGTAAGAAGGATTAAGGACATACTCCCGGTTGGGTAAGCCCCATTAACAATGAACACGCAATAGCGTACGCCAGATTATCGAGACAGCTGCCAGCATAGTCCGTGATAACTTCACAACGCTTAGATGCGCAAAACAGACGGCACGGCCTCTTCTCATCACACGCTTCGCATCAGAGATTCCAACCGTACATGCTTATAGGAAGTACGCTCGAAATTGCAGAATATCTACATTCTTGTCCATGTTTTTCAAGAGGTAAAGGCACATAGAGTGTTTGCGCACATGTTGCCATAGAAAACGATTGGGTTTTGGCTGCTGCGTAGGCTGAGAGATTTAGCAGAGTCAGAGACTTAATGCAGGCATTGTCTAAGTTTACAGGGTTGGAAGATTTGAGAGTTGCATTCTGTCGTTGGTGTGGACTTTCAGAAGATGGGGTTTCAGCATGTTTCAGCATTGTAGGGCTTTGGGCTGTTGAGTTTGTATTCAGAAGACGTGGACGTCAAAGTTGATCTAGGTAGCCTACACCTCGCTCTTCTTCAGAGACAACCCATCAACCCTATAGCTCGAAGTGCTGAGACGTCGCTGTGCTCTGCGCCAGAAGATTGAGCCACAAGGGCTAGCAACGTTTTCAGGTTTTGGGTTGTAGGGTTGGAACTTGTTTCCAATTAGTTTGCACTTTGGAAGAACTTCGGTTTTGGCTGTCATGTTGTTTGCCCCAACGAGGACTTGAAGAGCGATTGTGCAAGAATACCTTCGCTGGCAACAATTACTTGCTATCATCATACGCAGGCGCAATTAAAACGTAAGGGTGGCAACAGACAGAACTCACATTTTTGAACGAGGGGCATTCAGTCCAGCTCTGCAAAGCCTATGAACACGATTTTGGCTTTCTCCTTCAAGGGAGTAAAGGATTCCTGGTAGATTGTCGAAATTGCTCACGGCTGCGGCATTTGCATATTTCATTCCCGAATGAAACAATGGTGGGAAGAAATTCCCTTCAACAGGTGCGTGCAAGATGCTCGTGTCGTTTTGATCCCGGCTTGCTCAATGAAGTCTTGTTTGGCGGGATAGGGGTCACCTCTCCTCCATTACAATGGCCGTTGGAACTCCATTGTAGTGTTTCCATGCACCGGTTACAGCCGCTGGTAAGGTGTGAATTCATATGGACGCAAAGTGTACGGCAGTGTACGGCACAAAAAACGTGGTTTCTTTCGCGTGTGCCTCAGTTTGAGCACGGAGCTTTACATGGTTCGAATGTTTTGTCAGACTACGCAGAGATCCAAGCTAATGGAGGGGTGAGCGGTTAGCGCGTACAGCATTGTACAGCAGGTTGACCATGCATGTTTTCAATGGTTCCAGGGAAGTAAGCTGTCAAACACATGGGCTAACATGACCTTGTTTTTTCTTGTACAGCGGCCAGGTAATCGCCTTCTAGAGGCATGTTTAGTCCACATAATGGCTTACATTCAAAGATGCTTTAATGATCTCAAAGCCTTGCAAAGATCCACGCCGCTGGGTCCTTTAGTTTTCTAGGCAATAGTATGTCTTCACGATTTCCCCCAGACTCCCCGGTTTGTGTCAGCAAGCTGCGACAACACTTTAATTAAGGATAAAAACAAAATCAGAACATGCAAAGGGCTACAATGTGTGCACAGCACATGTTCCAAGTCCTACACCGGCCCAACACGATAATTCAGGACTTGGACAGCAATTCTTCCAGCGAGGCAAGGCCATCATGTTGTCTTTGCAAAAATGGGTCGAATTGACTGTTGCTTTGGCTGTTGGGAAGCCATTCTGTTTCCATTGCTGCGTTGAGTTTGGTTGTCAGACGTACGCTTGTTCGAAGATTGTTGTTGGGGTGCAATGCAGGAAAGCAGCAGCTCCAGTGAAAGCAGTGCCGTTGCCTCAGCAAAGAGTTCGGCCTGTGATGAGACATAAAGGAGCCAAAAAAAATCAAACGGCATTTGATTCCGATCCTTTCGCCAGTGTCTGGGCTATAGCGTTGAGAACCTGTAGAGTTGCATGCGCGTCAAGATGTGTAGGATGGTTTTCATCCACGGGTTCCATTTTGCATCATGCAACATTTGTGCTGTGTGTGTTGTGTGGAAAGGCATGACGTCTCAGAAGCCGCAAGTATGAACACCAAAGTATGTCAATATTCTCAACCCACCTTCCCCGCTCAAAAAAAAACACGCATCAACCACACATTGAACAACGCACTGCTCCCACGAGGACTCCGCGCCAAGTTCCAGGAAACGCCCAGGCAGCGGTTGAGAGCCGACAAAATCTGCAAAGTCTAGCCTAAGCTTTTCAATTGTCCCGTAGGGTCGGTCGATATTTCCAAAAAGGCTTGAAATGCATGCAACCTCCGGAATTATGGGAGCTTATATAGCTTAAGAAAATCATGCAAGACCAGCTACCGCCTAACGGCAGCAAATGTTTTTGGATGTGCCTTCTGGGGTCCGCGCTGTACCGGCTACAAGAGAAGTAAGGAGTCATTCCCTGAATTATAGAACCCGCCCGCCTGCTCCCCCCCCGCGGTCTGATCTTACTGTTGGGAAGGTATCCTTTGCGCATTAGGATGAGTTGGGGTTTAATGGATACATGAAACAGCTAACTTACTCCACAAACCTTCATCCCCAAACCCCAAAACTGATCCTTTCATAAGCCTCGTTTGAATTGAAATCCCCAACACCCCTGCCTTACTGTCTGTTAGAAGGGCAGGGAAGAATGGAAATGTTGTGGTGCCAGTAATGTGGTAATTTCACATGGAGTTCCATTCCTGCATTGTCTATTAAGCAGCCACCAGGTAAACCTAGGCCCTAACCCGAGTTATCCCTATAATCTGCTGCTTTTCATTTCTTTGTCCACTCGCTTTGGCATTTGATTCTCCCGTATTCTTTACCCTGAATCACGAAACCTGATGTCTTAAATCAGGGGTTCCAAAGCAGCTGCTGCGGACCGCACGGTGCAAGGTGCAGGCGCCTTTAGGGCATGAGCTGTTTCAGGGCGTAGACCCAGTTGCTGTTTAGAGCTCAGGGTGAAGAATTTCGTGCTTGGAACATTCGGGTTGTAAAGCCTATGTGGCGACATTACCGAAGAGGAGGTAGTCAAGCGTTTGTCTTTGATCTACTTCTTGCTTAGCAGCTTAGCGATGGCTTCCTGAACCTCCCCATCCCCCAAACTGACATGGAACCCCATGGGCCCATTACTGTTGTCTTTATAGCTACTTTTCTTGGGGCCCCATGTTTGTTTAGGAGAGCTCGAGCCACGTATCCTGGTCGAAGATCTCTGGGTGGTTCCAAAACATTAGGGGGTTCTTTGGGCAATCATGGGAATCCGTAGTGTAAGAACTGGAGTCGAGTATAGTGGGGTCTCTACTGGGGCCCGTATTTGTTGGAAATCCCTTTTGCTTGGAGATTTAGAAAATGGCAAAAAGTTGGCGACAGTATGCCAACAGTGAGCCTTGCTCTTGGCTGCTCACCTTGTCCTTTAACACACTGGAATCCTTCTCATGCCAGCGGATTCAAGATATCTTTCAAGTTTGGAGGCTCCGCTACGCAGACCCCCTACAGGATCCAAAAAATGGAACCTTCCAATAACGCCCTTATTTCCCCAATGTGGAAATCAGGGTGATTTTGGATGAGGGCCTGATTAGGGAGAATAGCGTAGTGGCTTGTTGTTCCTGACGTCTCAAGACGTGGTCAACAGTGCAGAATCTTTGTCGTATCCCAGCATCAATTCCCATCGCACTGTGGCGTTCTTATCTCATCGACACCAGAAAGCGGCCCATGCGTTTGATGACCCTAAGTGGCTCAAAACACAGTACCGGTGGGGCTGGGCGCGCGGCCGCAGCTCGCCATGCAGCCGTCATTTCTGCAGAGCCCCTGTGATGAAGCTGGCGACTTTGATGGAAATTCGAAATGTGAAAGCATACAACATCCCTTCTTGGATGTACCCAAAATGAGACATTGGGGTTTATACGGGCCGCCACACTCATCAGGGTTTAGGACGTTTCTTTTTTATCATCGGGATCGCTGGGCATCAAAAGAGCCTGAAGCGCTACAGGAAAGTTGGAGATTGCTTTACGGTTTCTCCGTCTGCACACCCTAAACCCCGATACCCTAAACTCTCTGAAAGGCTTCCATGGGACATGGCATGATTTTCTGACAGTACCTGAAAACGAGCATGGTGGCTTCGTGGAGCTGAAGGACAAGAAGAAGATCCTTGGATTCTAAACCCAACACCCTATATCATAATACGTATATATGTATATATCGTAAATAATAGGGTTT